GTTGCCGGAGACGCTAAATCGACCGTTGTACGACACAATGGTCGGGATGATGGAGGGGGAATGTTGTGTCGCGTGATTCGCGGTGGGTCAACCTCACCCCCCACCCCTTCCTTCCTTTTTAATTTCCTTTTAGTTTTAAATTGTTGTTTAGTTTTGCAGTTAGCTAGTGAAGACAAAAAAAAAAATGTAAGTGATAAAGAATGACATGAAGTTTGACATAATAAAGTTTGTTCCAATGACAGACATTTTAAATCAATAACCATGAACAAATTTTGACATAATAAGGTATGTTCGTATATTTTTAGACGATCAGATCACCCACGTCACTTTTGATTATCCATTATGTCAATCTATTATGTTAAAATAATTTTACTCCCTAAGGAAACCTTCTCAAGTACAATGTTGTTATGGGTTGGCTTATTTATGGGGAGGAAAGGCATGTAATGTGTCATGTGCTCGATAATGATGGTCAGCTGTGTTTGTTTATACGGACACGAGAAATTCTATAAGTACATAATATTGTACATAAGGGTGTACATAATACTCACATTTAGTGGGACCTACTAAAAATAAAAAATCAAGCGACCTAACTCCATGTGAGTGTTATGTACACATATATGTACATTTATTATGTACTTGTAGCATTTCCATACAGACACAAAGTTCTAAGATTAATCTCAGTGTTTTCCTAAGATTAATCTCATCTTCTTGTTTGTTTTCTATACATACACTGTCTAAGCAATAAGTCTTGTTTTAGTATGCCGTTTGCCAAACAATTAATCTCTTGTTTGATTTGGCAACTATACAATGTACATAGTCTAAGCAATTAGTTAATTTCCTCTTATTTGGTTTGGCAAGTATACAACACAATTCCCAAGTCCTAAGTAATTAATCTCTTGATCTTGTTTATGTTTGCCAAACAAATTAATTATCTTGATCTTGTTTTGGTTTGCAAACAACTAATCTCTCGGTTTGGCAACTATACACACATAGCTTAAGCAATTAATCTCTGGATCTCTATCTAAATTTGTTGCAAAGACATCATATATTTGCTTAATGATGAAATTATGTGATTATAAGAAAATTATAGCAAAAGAATGGTGTTATATCCATTAATTTCTTGATCTCTTGTTTGGCCACCAGAAATCAAGAACTTGGCCAACACCAAAACCCGTCCCACGGACAATTTCAACAAGTACTAAAAATTGAACCCAAAATTCTGGAATCCCAACAAAGTATAGTAACATCCTCACAAGAATAGTCTTAAACAAGGAAAATCCAAAATTCAAACCAAGTCTGATAAAATACCAAACAGAATTAAAAAAACACATCCTTCCTTTGTCACTTAAAAATCTAAAAAGCCTTACTTGTCAGCCTTAGCAGCCGTGGCTGCAGCTTGACCACGCAGACGACCAGTCCTCCTGGCAGCAATAAGACCGACCTTCTGTCCAGGTGGTGCATCACGGCGAACCGTGCTGGCATGACCAATGTGCTGATGGTTACCACCACCATGAGGATGCTCGACTGGGTTCATAGCAACACCACGGACCTTAGGCCACGAGTTTCTCTTCACTCTGAATTTGTGATATGCATTCCCAGCCTTCAGCATAGGCTTCTCAGTACGCCCACCTCCTGCAATCTGGCCAACCATAGCTCGGCACCCGCTGGGTATGATTTTCTTGGCTCCCGAGGGTAGCTTAATCCTATACAAAGAATAAGATTACAAGACACTAATCAAATTTAAGGTTTTCACTTATTGGGCTAGTAACACATTGATACAAATCAGACATTAGAAAAATCACGTGTGAAACTAGCTAGGAGTATCAAACATGTGAAAATCCCTGCAAGATCATATGCAAATTTTTCAGCTTCCAAACAATGAGTACATATGATTCTCCTTGCACAGGAGGGGGATTTATAGAAAAGCAAAGGAACAAAAAAAGTATAGGCGAAGGCAAAGAACTACAGCAGTGACGAACCACTTATGACCAGACGACAACATAGAGCATAGATATACAAATAATTTGTCAGTCATTCACATTACAATAATACCAACAATTTGAAAGTTCCCACCAAGCAACTCTCTATAAATTGAAACTGAGAACGGCTTAACTTTTGCATGTTAACCTTCTAACTTCAAATTCAAATGCCTGGCTCAAATTATACAGTAACAGGACCAGCCATTGCTTACAAATACATAACTGAAATGGGATTAAATGGCACAAGAAATAAATCCCTTACATCAGCTTCTTCTAATAATTTCATACTCTAAATCACACATCACAAGAAGCCACGTACGTAGAATAATTGGATATATTTTCGAAACACAACAAGAGTGTACACTTTTGAGGCATGCTAACAGATAATCGGGTCTACCCTTCGCTCATTTTTAGTCAAGAATGTATACTTTTTGGCTAAGAAATGTCGAACTTTTGTTTATAATTTTTTAAAAAACATGACACTTTTAGTTTGAAAATATATTATTGGACTATTGCAAGATTATATTGTACATCTACCAAGTAAAATAATAAGTTAGCGATTTATCTCTGAACCTTCCCAACATATACACTGACAAGCAACAAACAATGGACGAGAACTATTCCGATCAAATTCAGCAATTTCCAATAACATTACCTGGAAGTATCATTGTCAGGATTGTGTGAGATGACAATAGCATAGTCCCCAGATGCCCGGGCGAAAACCCCAC